GCAGCAGAATGGAAGGAAAAATTCTGGGTACTGCTGCTCTCCCGCTCAGTACTAAGCTGATTTCAAACGATATTAATAAGATATCTGGAAAAGCTAAAAGATGTATGTGTAGGTAAATAAGGTGTATCTGGAAAATTCTTAATTCTTTTAATTCTAAAATTCTAAAATTCTAAAATTCTAAAATTTTATTAAAAGCGTTTCCATCTTTCACGAAAAATTTTTTTCAAAGCAACTGTAAAATACATATACATACAAACACTGACAGTTGACGTGATTCGTAGGTTCTCTTGACATATATGAAAAAAAAGTTCTATGATATTCAAAATTCGTACGTTTAAATATCTGAAAAATAAAAATAGGCTAAACCTCACCCCACAAAATTGTTTATTGCTTTTTAATAGACAAGTTAAAACTGATTTTGACGAAAATTAATTACAATAATTACAGGCATATATTTTTAATAGAAAAATATTAATTGAAAAAAAAGATAATATTTGAATTCAATTAATTATTTATGGCGTTAACGCTTCTAAAATAGTGTAATCCTAAAAATTATATGGATAATAAGTTATGAAATCTATTAATTATTTAAGCATCAAAAAGTAATGGTCATTTGCATAAAAGTTTAAATACATATTTTCTCTCAAAGCAACGAAGTATAAGCGTAAAAAAATTAAGTAAAACATTATGAGCCATGATAAAAGAAGATTTCTTGTATTATACATTAGAAATTTATTATATTTATGATATAAATTTAGAGTAACAGTTGGCATGGTATCAACTTAACAGTCAACATTAAATTTTAAAAGTAATTAATGTAAAGTAATACTCAAGTAATATTACAAGTGAAATGCAAAATAGTATTAACTTTGTTTCGAAAACGAAGTTTTTCCCTGTAATTCAACTATTTTTTCCTCTTATTTTTATAATTAGTTCTTATGTATAATTACTATCATAAATAAAACAATTATGTAGAGGCTTGCGTATTTTTGTTTTATTTATGATAGTAATTATACATAATTAGTTCTTATGTATAATTACTATCATAAATAAAACAATTATGTAGAGGCTTGCGTATTTTGGGTTATACGAGTTATTTATAATTTGTTTAATGAATACCATTTATTAACTGCGTGTATATTACATAACAAAAGTTAAAACAACTGTATTATTATTCAAACAAAAAAACTAATATAAAAGTTTTTCACGTTGATATTTGGATCAAAAACTTGCGACTCCGATCTATTGAGTACAAATCCAACGTTTCAGCCCATCACCTAAAATAACGACCACGAAAAAATGTAAAAAAAACTTTTAAAAACCTTTGTAAAACATTTCATTCAATTTTATAACTTTCTGAATAACTTTCAGTATTGAAATATTAAGATTAATATTTACATGAAACAGTAAGTATGGTTAACTAATTTTTAGAATTTTTAATGTATACAATAGTTTCAGAATTGTTATTTAAATGACAGAAGCATGAAAATTTTATACATTTAAAATTAAAAATTCATACGTTTCGTATCTTTTAGATAATTATTTTATTAAATTGAAATTTTTTTGTTCTGAATACTTTTTCAACAATTAAATTATTAAATTTTTTTTTAACTCAAGTTTGCAATGTTACTTAACCCAAATATTTCTCTAACAGTAAATTTCTATTTTATATTTTAATACAAGTAAATCTGCTTTTTTATTTTAAGTAAGCTTGTGTCACTTCAACATATGTTTATACTTAAATTTATAAGATTGTATCAGATGTATAATATACATATAAAAAAAATATATTTAACAGTTTTGAAGGATTTCTTTGAACAGTAACAAATGAATTTATTACGTAAGCTGACTAAAAATTTCTTTCTATTTAATGATATTTAATTGTGTATTAAAAAAATTTAACTGCTTGTGCTTAAAAATTTACAAAGTAGTATCGATTGTTCGAACAATTATTCTAAAATTTTAATATTATTCAATACCATAATATTCTAATCTCAGTAAACATTTATTGATTCATCACTTTCACTTTCTAAAAATATTTATTTATTTTTCTTACCATGAATGCAAAATTGTTTAACTCCATAGAAATTTAATTCATTGACAAATTTACAAACTAATTTTTAAATTTCAATGAACATTTTTGTATAAAAAATATATGCCTTTAATTATTTTAAGGGGTTCAAAAGTTGGAGTTAGGATAAATATTTCCTACACAGAAGTGATAGCTCGTAAAACTTAGTTTTAACTAGTTTATTGAAAAGTAACGAACAGTTTTGTTGGGGTGAGGTTTAGCCTATTTTTATGAGAGGGCCGTAGTAGGATGGACTCGAGTATCGGAGTAGGAGAGACTCGAGTGTCAAAGTTGGAGGGACTCGAGTGTCGATGCCGAAAATGAAATTTTCTTTTCGGATTCGGAGGGTTTCGGATGTCGGAGTCGGGGGGACTCGGGTGTTGACGCCGAAAATGAAATTTACCCACCAACAGACGCATGCACTCAACCATTCGACTGGATGATACCGATCAGTGCCCCTGCGACTTTCCCTGCAGTCAAGCTGAAAGCTAAAACGAGTGCAAACTCAACAGCCAGTGTGATTTTCGGCATCAGTAGTACGACAGCTGCGGTGTGTAAGGGTTCAATCGTCCAGTGCACCAATCATTTATTTAAGAGAGTTCAGCATGTGTAACTTGTGTTGCTGCTGTAGTATGGTAAGTGAGGAAATATTATTTAATTACCGACCACACAGTGAAATATGAACATGAGACTTAAGTGACAACTTTGTAACGTTAATTTTCGTGCTATTTTTAAAGTGATGCAAGTGTGATGTTGGTGCATCTTAATTAATAAACTATGTCTTTTATTTGCAGAGCACTTCTACCAAACTGTTGATAGTTGCCATAATGTTATTTGCCGCCCTCGTTACTTACGTGTATTACTTTGGGTGGCCTTTTCCTGCTCGGTGCCAATGTCCCGAGCGGTTTACTTACGCAGCGACAACCGAGACGAAAACACCATCAAGGAGAAGTAATTGATGTTATTTTATTTTTTACGCTATTCGCAAGAAGTGCAGTCAAATATTGATTCAATTTTTTTGTTGTTTTTTTTAAGGTTTTTTAAGTTTTCTCTTCTAATGTTGTGTAGTCTTGGTTCGGAATAAAATCTACCTGTTGATGAGCCAATTGCTGAAGCATCACTAGTCGCAAGTGAAAAGACTCCAACAACCCAAGTGTCGTGTTTAAGATTAAGACTCGGCCAATTTCGATATCATACGAATGTCAAGTAGTTTACCAAAGATTCTGTGAAATATTTAGTTTCCTCATGTTAAGATCTCCGTAGTTTATTTTACGTATTTTTGTAATGTTGTTTTGCATTTTACTTTTTATATTACTTAAGTGTTACTTTACATTAATTACCTTTAAAATTTAATGTTGACTGTTAAGTTAATACCACGCCAACTGTTACTCTATCTCATAAATAAAATAAATTTTTAATGTAGAATACAAGAAATTTGTTTTTTTATCATGGCTTTTAATTTTTTACGAAATTTTTTTACGCTTATACTTATTTGCTTCGATTTTATAATATATACAAAAATATTTTACACGGTTTGTTAAACAAAACTTGGATTTTACAACTATTCGTCACAAAGAGTTGCAGCATCGTGTGTGACATATCTTCGTGATAAAAAATAAATTTTACCGTTATTTTCCCTATAAAAATTACCACGCATACGGTAATTGTGGGACAAAGCGACATCGCGGAACTTCTGACCTAACTTAGTCAATTTGTACCGTGTTGGACAGTTCAGTATTTTATTCCGTAGATTTTTGCACGGGAGTTACCTTGAAAACATGCAACTCGCGCATTCAGTCAAAGAAAATCTTTTATGAATCCTCGAAATTTACATTTTGCTCCGTACAACATTGTTCAATAAGATCTCAAGAACACGTGTCTGAATTTTTAGGTTATAAATATTAAACGAAATACATTTGGGGGTAATTCAATAAAATACTCTGGCTTTGTTGTTTACATCTTAAGTCAAGTATCTTCTCAAATATTTTTCGTTTAATATAGTAACCTGAAAATTAATACACGTGTTGTTGAGTTCTTATTGAACAATGTTGTACGAAGACAAATGTAAAAGGTAACTTTTTAAAATTTTTTTCAAGTTTTTTATATCTATTAAAATATTTTTTAAATATTGGAGGTGATTAAAACATTTAATATAAATCCTAATCTAAGTCCGATCTTTAATTATCAAAGCTGCATTGTTTTGTCACCCGATTTTCGGATCGTTTAAAATTAGTACGTCTATTAGACCTACAAATAGTACATTGCGTACGAGTTTGCAAAGGTTTAGATTTACGAACCGAGAGGTTTACGGCACGAGCCGAAGGCAAGGGCCGTAACGAGGTTCGTAAAGAAGCCTTTTCGAACGAGTTTCGTGTAATATTTTTCCGCCTGAGAACTCAAAATCAAGCGGCGAAGGTGCTATTTTGAGGTTAGAAGGCGGAAAAAATTATTTCCATGCTTTGTCAGAAAAATAAGGATAAAAAAAGGTTCTACAACATTTTCCTCTAAAATGTGTCATACGTAATATATATATACCCTCCAGTCGAATACGATTTGTAATCAGATTATCTTACTAGGCTCTGGCAAGATTAGGCAAGATTAGCTGTGTAGGATTTTATTTTAAAAATATTCAGTGGACTGATGAAATAAGGAAGTGTAGACTGAAAATTTGAATAAAAATACTCTTATTTGGTAATGTTATGTATGTACATATATATATTTAAACGTGTGCTTGTAGCTAATAACTGTAGATGCATTCCTTTTGAATTAAACTTAAGACTTCCAGTTTAGGAAACTGTCCTGAAACGTGATATGTTTAAATATACTAGTTGGATTCGACTGGAGTACTTTACGAGTGCGTTGAGCTTGAAAAATGTATGAAACCTTCTCCCTTGCATCACTTTTCGAAATATCACCTCTGAGGCTGAGTAGTCTTAGAAGCTGATCATCAGTCATATCTGGATATTTTTCTATCAAAGAATGTAAATCTAATGAAAGAATTTCAGGATCCTCACAGCGTAAGACTTCTGCCAATTTTTTAATTATTTCAAAAGGAGAATCGAGTTCAATATTTGGTGCTATTTTCAAAAAAAAGTTTTGCAACTTTTCAGCTTCTAAGATTATCTTCGATGTACATGTTAAACACTCATCGTACGTTTTGAATGATACTTTCCGCTGTAACATAGCCAAAATGTAACGTTTAGCTATTAAGTTTTGTGCCTCAGTAATGACAAATATAAAATTGTTTTCGGATAAGTAGATGTAGTCTTGAAAATAATCTTCCAAAGTTACACAAATAGTTTCTACAGGTATAGGAGAAGATAACCACTTCGGAGTTAACAGGTCGTTGAAATGAAGTTCGAGATCTAAAAAAGATTCTTCCAACAGTATTGCTGCAGCTTCGTTACGAAGTTTATAATAATTGTTGATCACTTCTTCAAACTTTGTAGCTAACTCATTATTAATAGTGAGTACCAAATATTGTTGTTTCATTTTTTGAGACAATTCTATGAATTTCAAGCAATTGTTTACAACAGTAATCATGTGGTGTGTAAAGTATGGAACTTGGCTTCTATCTTCAAAATGTTTATTTTTAAAGTCTAGAATAGCTTGATGGTATTGAAATCCATATTTTATTACTTGCTCGACGCATAGACTTAGTGCCTTCAATGTTAAGTCTTCATTAACAGTTTTCGTAACTTGCAAATTTTGATCGATCATTTCAAATATAATAACAGGAGCAGCAGTGTAGTAGTATTTGTCATGTATACTAGTTTCGGGTGATACTTCCTTCGACCAATCAATCTTTTCTGTTTCCAAAGTTTTTCTCATCCAATCTTCATAGTTTTGGGACATATTTTTTAGATATTTTTCTTGAAGTTGACTCATAATTTCATCACTTAGTAAATTTCCCAAGTCATTTATGTTCAGGTTTAAATCTGGATGGCCCATCATGTCTTGACTTTTATATGTGTTAATAATCCAGGAAAGCAAAGAAACATATTCGTTACCTTCAAGACCTTCATTAATAATATCTTTCAAATGTTCAGATAAACTCGTGTGATACATTTTGACAAATTTACAAGAAATATCATAGGATGGAGGAAAACAAGGTACACATAAGGTTTTCACAACACGTAAATCTTCCAAAAACAATAATCTTATCAATTCCAGGTATCGTACTAACCACATTTTAGTATCAGTCCTCTGATCAACATGAGTACCTTCAATTTTATTTGCAACGGATTTCTCCAAAACTTTAAAAGCAGCTTCTTTCCACTGCTTTGGTCGCCCAGGAGGTATAAACCCACTCTGTTTGTATCTCTGCAAAGTGTAGTGATCTGCTTTTTCTTCACGTTCAATGATTCTTAAAACGGTTACAATTACTGTTGGTTCTTTTCTGACAGTATTGAGTGTCCTACTAAGAATCAATTTTATTTGCTTTTCCATAAATAAAGAAAGTTCGTGAACATCTTCAAAATATGCTTTCAACATAATCTTGTCTGCTGGCTTTTCATTAGGTAACTTATACAGTTCAAATAACAACTCATCCCTAGAACTCTCAAGATCCATGAGGCTCTGATGAGCATACAATAATTTACTTTCACTAATCCACTGTTTTGTTCTTTCAATACTTTCTGGGACTGTAAAAATGTGTTTTAAATTTTCCTTGGCTGTAATATACTGCGAGTGTCGTAAATTTTCATAATGCACCATTTGTAGTCTATTACTGAGTACAGGAATCGATTCAAATAATTTTTCAACAGATTCTAAATCATTTTTAATAATTTTAATATTTGACAATGAATTTTGCAACTGATCAAACCCAACTTTCACACCATCGAGTTGACTTTGCATTGCAGTTTTCAACATCGTTTCTACAGATGCTTTTTTCCTCTCCATTCTGCGTTTATAATGCTCGACTTTTTCCAACTGACCTGGACGTTGCAGCATATTAATGACATGCTTGGTTGCAGCGGTTTTCGCATTTTCTTCGAGCAAATGCAAGTCGTACATCTTTCATTAATGTAACTAGGATTAGTTTGTTGTCGAATGAATACTTGACAGCTACAGTTGTCACTTGTCACAAATATTATAGTCGCAAGCAGCAGAAATTTTTACCGAAAAACAGTCAATGTATAGGTTTGTTCATTTATCCACTTTGGAGCGCTCCGAGCGCTCCGGGGCCTCCGAGCGATCTATAACTGAACACGAGTTCTTTGTCGGGGTCCGTACCATTTAACTTTTTTTTGCTTTGCAGGCCTATGTTATAACATAGGCCGATGTACTGAAAAATGTTACATGGTACGACCCCTGAGCACTCAGAGGCCTCCGGCTCCGAGATATATATATACTATATATAGGTATACTCACCGCTTATAACTGATGTTTGTAAGCACTGAGCAGTTATGGTGAGTATACCTATATAGTACATAGAGAGCATTCCAAATGACACGACAGTGTCACGCAGTCCGCTAAACTCAAAGTGAGTGAACAGACTGAACAGACCTATATCTCTTTTTCCATCAGGCAACAAAGCCTATGGTCGCAACTACGTTGACTGACAGAGAACACAGCATAGGTCTGCTCAGTTTGTTTACTCACTTAGAGTTTAGCGAAACAGTGGAACCCCCTTTTCAATATGAACGTTCACAATGAAACAAGCAAAAAATGTCTATGTGAATAGCCAATAGCTCCATAGATCGCTCAGGGGTCGTACCATGTAACTATTTTCCAGTACATCGGCCTATGTTATAACATATACGTTTTTTTAGTAGTCGGTCAGTCGATCGGTCGGTCCATTTCCTCAAAAAGGTGTATCTATATTTACTATGTATACAGATGTACATTCTAGAGGAATCAGACCGACCGACTAAAAAAAAAAAAAAACGTACCCATAGTGAGTATAGGTATACTTTCTTCAGGAATGGGACCGACCGACCGACCGACCGACTAGTCCGACTGCCATAGACACAAGACTGCTCGTTCCTGTGTACACCGCTGAAGCACGAGTAGAAAGTGACACAGCATTGAGCGTGAGTATCTGTATTTCTCGCACATTGACAACGGTGGGGGTCAGTAAACTAAGTCCGGTTAATGCAACATCCCCACCGTTGGCAACGAGCAAGAGAGACAGATATCCACGTTCGACGTTATGTCTCTTCCTACTTGTGCTTCAGTGCCGTGAAAAGGAACGAGCAGTCTATAATTTGTATGTCCATGCTGACTACAAAAAAAATGTACCCATAATGTCGATATGAAATAGACAAGAGCTGAGTCACTTATACTGACTGGCTGAGAGTAATACCGAGAGTACTGAGGTGCTGAGAGTGCTAAAGCCCGAGGGTGGTCAGAAATCTAAACAAGCCGCAACTTTGACAAGATTTTCAGTATTTTATGATTCGTAGATATTCGAGAGTTTTTTAATCATATTTTATTCTGGTAAAGAATTATGTGGTAATTGAAGTAAAGGCCATGTAGTCGACTTTTTAAACCAGCCGCAACCAAAACAAACATGTTGTTTATTTGATTTTGTTGCCAATTGATTTTTTTTAACAATAATTAACATACTAAACCAAAGTTTCAGCAATTTTCGCATTAAATAAAAAGGTGAAAATGACCTTTCCGTGTTGCTCATTTAATGCTAATCTTATTTAGAAATGCAATATTTTTAATATTAGATGAGCTGGTATTATTTATTGGTGTATTTTTTAAAAACATCTATCGGGCTGCTGCTGGTCTAATATTTTCAAAAAAGTATGGTACTTCAATACGTATTTCCGTTTATTCCCGCTGTTATTTTTCTTATTCCAATGAAATCCCCTTGCGTCAATGAAATCAGAGATTGTTGAGTTAAAATGTGAATTCTACGACCTAAACTTGCAAAAGTGAATGTGAATCACAAACCAGTTGAAATTTGAAGCAAATCAGAAGTACAGTTTATACAGGGGTCGTACCATGTAACTATTTTTCAGTACATCGGCCTATGTTATAACATAGGCCTGCAAAGCAAAAAAAGTTTATATGGTACGGACCCAGTTGCGACACTCCGTCTCCGTGCTAAAAAGTGTCCGTCACGTGCCATGTTCCTGGTCACACAGTCCGTGAGTTCGCGAGAACTTGAATTTGAATACTTACATACATATTAATATACGATATTGTAACAGACATCATGAGTACTTTTTAAGCTAAATATTTAGTAAATTATACATTCATACCAAAATTAGCTTCATACATGTGTTCGTCAGTCAAGGAAAATATAAACAAATAAAAATTTTCATAACAGCTAATTCTGCTTTGGGCGATATTTCGATACTCGCCTTTCCGCTATGTTCTTGGTGGCAGAAAATGACATATTGAATAGAAATTTAGAAATTGGGATATTGGGAAATCTCACATAGCACTCACGCTACCTGCGGGCTAGCTCGGAACTACGGAGAGAAGGCTTTTTATCGGACTGAAATGTCTGAAATTGAAGTGTAATGGTATCACATTGCCGATTTATTTTGTTTATTTAGGCACTGTCAAGATTGTATTGGCTCTGGTTTTGAAGTTTTCCTCAAGCATAACGTGCGCCAAAGTAAATCTACAATTGCATTATAACATTTATATTTAAGTCAACTCATTTTCATCTAATTCATGATCAGTGTTGACGTTGCAGCCAGCAGTTCAATCACACTCAACTCAGGCTGAATCTAAGTACTTCTACGTGGACCAAACAATTCAATCTTGACAGTGCCTATAAATAAACAAAGTAAATCGGCAATGTACAGTCAGTGGAACTTTGTTCTGTCCCGGACCCTATTATTGAACAGTACTTCACGCAATAGCTCCGAAATAGGGTCCGGAACAGATCAGAGTTCAACTGAGTGTTTTACAAAGGAAAAAAAATATATTCACAGAAATCGTTAAAATTATAGAGAAGAATGTCCCTGACTATATTTTTCCGATCAATCATACAGATGATCTATTTAAACATGGACTACAGTTACTTAAACAAATTATTACTACGTACCTACGCATCAGGATTCATCAGTACAAAAAACAAAATAATATTGCTGCTAAAAAAATTTGAAGAATTTACACCAAAGTTATATTATTTCGCGATCGATAATGTTCCATTAGAAGGAAATTAACGATAGCTTTCTTTAAATCTTAATTATACATTTAGTTGCTGTGAATATGTATTTGGTATATTTCAAACACCGCAAAGTATCCTGTACATACCCTATTTCTTCCTTTATATTTTGGCATTTGTGTATAGTACTGTTCAGTATTAATTCTTTGTATTGTAGTGATTAAAGTAACACATCTGTACTTATACATTTTCCTCACTTAGAATTTTATTTTATTTTATAATGTTCCAATTGTAACTGCATAAATTTACAATGAAAATATACACTGTAACATAAAAAAAAAAAAAAAATTACCAGTCGGGACTCGATCCACGTCTATACAGCTTAAAAAAAAATACCATTCGGCTCATGCAACTCACTCAGCTATCATCATATTGACCTCTAGATCCATAATAGATATAATAGAAATAATATATAAATTGTATGTCACCAGAGCTTGGAGCTATTCACATAGATATTTTTTGCTTATTTCATTGTGAACGTTCATATTAAAAAGGGGGTTCCACTGTTCCGCTAAACTCAAATTGAGTGAACAGACTGAACAGACCTATATATGCTGTGTTCTCTGTCAGTCAACATAGTTGCGACCATAGGCTTTGTTGCCTGATGGAAAAAGAGGTATAGGTCTGTTCAGTCTGTTCACTCACTTTGAGTTTAACGGAACAGTGGAACCGCCTTTTCAATATGAACGTTCACAATGAAATAAGCAAAAAATGTCCATGTGAATAGCTCCTATGTGAATAGCTCCTGTACATAATATATTGGCTGAAGAGGTAGAGGCCTAGAGGGGTATCGAGGTATAGCTATATATATGCTCTCTTCTCCTAGCCTGATTACCTGTAGCATGTAGCTTCACTCTTAGAGACGACTATAACTATATACACGGAAGGAGGCTAGCCAATCATCGGAGTGTAAGAGAGAGAAAGCATATCCTGCATCACGGGCCCTCCCTCTCTTTGCTAGTCTCGCGGCCGAAGCATTGTATGCTCCCTCCATAATAATTATGCTCTAAGACATACCCCAAGGTCCCCAAGTAAGTAAACAGAAAACCGAAACGAACAGACTCGTATTAACCGGCCATTCGAAGGACTGAGTACGCCATCTACGTCTTGGCAAGCAGTTGGCCGTCTATGCTCGAGCCTTGACCTATGACGACCAGAGATCTAATCTCTGATGACGACCAATCACTTTAAGGACGTTCGGTAGTGATTGAATTTTCCAACGAATTTTTCTGAAATTTTGACCAGACGTTTTTATTGTTGTTACAATAAACCAGTCAAAATTTAAAGAGGTTCCTCTGTTTCGTTTTCGAGATATTGAATTTCAAAGTTAAGTCATTTTAACACTGTCGCTTATGGGAGAACTGACTAAATCACAGTTTTAAGCAAATTGGGCCAGTGAATTTGGCCAATTTTTTTATATGTTACAGATAATGTTATTAATTTGATGTATACCAAGTTTTGCGACGATCGTCTGATTCGTTTATAAATAAAAAATTAAATAAAAGCTCGACCGAAACGCAACGGCAACGTCGCAAGTGGCGGGAAATTCAAAATGTTCCAGGATGTTGATCAGTAAATATCTCAATATTATTGTAGATATTTATGCATTCACGCATAAAATACAAGCTTACGTGTGTGCGTGAGTGTATGTACAGAACGCCCACCCCTTCCCATAAAAAACAATAAATG